TAAGCAGTTCTTTTAAAAATTCACCTGATGTCAAGCACAGTGTGGTAAGTCCAATATTGCTCAGCCATCATTTACACGGAGAGCTTAAATCATTGTACCCTGTGTATTTCATAAAAAACAAACTAGAGGGGTTTGGAGTTATTGTTTAAAATTATTTATTCATCAAACACTTATTAATGAGTGCTTATTTTATTGTACGCAGAGCTTTCTTTTAGGTGATGGGGATACAAAGATAAACAACCAAGATTATAAATTGTTAACTGATGATGTTGTATCTTCTTCAGAGTCACCAACTTCTCTTTCCCATGTGAGACAGTAACTGTATATATTATATTGACAGTTTAAAAACAAAAACAGCTTTTCTCAGATTTTAAACTTTCAAATAATACAGAGGAATAGAAACAAAGGTAAAAATTATCTGAAATCCTTGCCCTCCCCCCAGGGATAATCACCGTGAACATTTTAGTGAATCTCCTTAGAAATGTCTCTCTATAGTTATGCATACATAAAGATGCACACACACACACACACACAGACACAGAATGCATTGATGGGATCTACTGTCCTCTGATCTGCTTTAATCACTGAATATTTTCATGGACATATTCTTTCAGTGTTAGCAATAATACTTATCATTTTAATGGATATGTAAGATTCCATTGACTAGATATATCACAATTTAAAAATATCCCATATTGCCAGGCATTTAGGTTTTTCAAATTGGCAACTATTACAAACAATGCAGTGATGAATAAATTTAAATATAAATTTTTGCAATTGCACAATTATCTCTTTAGGATACTTTCTCATAAGTAGACTTCTTGGATCAGGATTTATGCTTATTTTAAATTTTGATATATGGCCAAATTGCCTTCTAGAAAACTGGCCTCATGCACCAGCAGTCCTCAACAGTGCCTGTTTTCCCATATTTTCTCTAACACTGGCTTTAAAAAGTAATTTTGTTATTTCCCAATTGGATAGATGAAGATATTTTAATTTCCTTGATTATCAGTGAGTTTGAGCATCTTCTGTTTATTCGTTATTCATAGAGGTAGTTATGTTTTCTAAAGTCCCTACTAACACCGAATTACTGGACCATTGCTCCTAGGAGAAATATAGGGCCAGGTTCCTGTGAGCCTCTGGTCACAACATTTTCATCAACTATAAATTTGTGTTTATGTGTGTTTCTGTTTGAAGATACCTTATTTCGTAAGTATAGTTGATTCATTAACGTTGTACTTACAGCCAGCAGCACTCTAACTCATGCCTAAATGAAGTTTACCTAACAAGTGTATTTTTCCCATAAGGCACATCAAAGTCTTCTTGTGCTTAGGAGCATCACACAGCAAGTCAGCACTACACTGGGGGCCATTTTAAACAGTGAAATCACTAACAAAACACATAAAAATGCAGAAAATGTGGCACTAAATAGGCCCCTCAAAGGACACTTGTTTAAAGATGAGAGCTGAAATAAGAAGGCAAAGTGTCCTCTTGTTTGACCTCGACTGAGAATATGCATGTCAGGTGACTCAAATTGTTTTCTGCTCTCTGAATGTCCTTGAATGCCTCAAAAATGCATATATTGATTTTGGTGTTACAAATAAATTTTACTGAATAAGAAAACTGGAAAATCTGGAATCCATGAATAATGAGGATTGATTATATTCATTTCCTTTGCCCATATGTCTATTAGGGTATTTAGCTTTACTACATTGATTTGTGTATGCTATTTCCATATTAGGATAGTACTCTTTTGCTTATCCTATTTTATCAATATTTTCCCCAATTTTGTCTATTTTACCGTTAGTGTCTGTTATTACAATGGCTTTTGACAGCAGTATCAAAAACTGCCTTTTGAATGAAGAAGCACAACACTGGAAAAGGAATTTAATTAAATTTCTCTTGTTGTGAAGGTGGTTGGTATTTATTTTTATCTCTCTTTTTTATAGACACACCAAATTCTGTTTGGTGATTTTTCTCCAGCACCTCCAAATTATGGAAAATCATGTAAGTCCTGTCCCAAACTATCACTTTATATCATGTTCTGCCTTCATTGTAATTAGGGTCTTCATCTGTTATTTTCCGCCCTTCGAGAGTCTGAGGCCATTTAAGGCCTTTTGCATTTCTGCTTCTTTCCTCCTGTCATGCACCTGGTTACTTTGTTGTACCTCTCCTAAACAGTAAGGATGACAGGATGCAGAAATAAAAGGAGGGAGAAATCCCAGAGAGACATTTGCCAGCAGCATCTCTGAAAAAGAGCATCTGTGTGAGAAGGTTGTGGTGGTAGCAGAAGTTGGGTGGGGCTGGGGGTTCGTATGGATCTGAGTGTTTGGAGCTACTGATTAAAAGTGATTAAGGAATATTAGTGAATTTCATTTATTCATCTCATGGTAGATTCTACCACAAGCATTTACACATTGCCTGTCTCTTTCTACTAGGTATGAGAATTAAAAAGCCAGTATCTAAGAATCTGATGAACTACAATCAACTAAAGAAAGACTTTCTGAAGCATGTAAGAATCTTTTTGCTTGTCACCCAACAGTGGATCCCTGGGGTGGTGTCCATAAGTGTGCATAGTGTGGCAGTGAGGACAGTGGTGTGTGTATGTGCAGAGCTGGTATGAAGGTGATCCCAAATTTACAATCAAGTGACGAATAGAAAAGTAGATTGCTCTGATGAGCATTCTTTCTTAAAGCATCATGAACATTCGTGTATAGCTCTCTCCAGTTGTTGTGGAAACAAGCCTCAAAGAGGCTTACGGGAATTGGAAATTTCTCTTGTACTGCCCAAATTTTCATTAGCGATATCAGTGAGTTGCTGGATTCTGCCTCTTGCAAAAAAGGCAATGAGTTCTCAGATTGTCCTTCCTTCCTGGGACCCACCCTGGGTGCCCACTGTCCTGGGCTCACTCTCCTCAGATGCTTGTTCTGCCATCCAATATCTACCATCTCTGTTCCACTTCACATGGCCCTCCAGAGCAGGGGCTTTGTCTTGCCTGATCAGACTTTCTCAAGATCCAGTAATTTTTTTAACAGGATGCTAAAATAGATTTTTTTTTTTTTTTTTTTAGATTTTACTTATTTATTTGACAGAGAGAGAGACAGCGAGAGCAGGAACACAAGCACGGGGAGTGGGAGAGGGAGAAGCAGGCTTCCCACGGAGCAGGGAGCCCAATGTGGGGCTCAATCCCAGGACCCTGGGATCATGACCTGAGCTGAAGGCAGATGCCTAACGACTGAGCCACCCAGGTGCCCCTAAAATGGAATTCTTTTTATGTCTTAAGAGTTCTGGCAGAGATTCCTAAAGAATGAGTTGAAAAAAGGAATAAAAACTAGTTTCTGCAAGCACTCCACTGACTTCACCTCATTTAATATAAAAGTTACAATTATTCTTGCTTTCCTCTTACTTTTGTTTATTAAGATTTATCTTTAAACTGACTCAAAAAAAATCCCAGCTTCACCTTAAATAATTATATTTGTGACACCATGGATTTGGTATTCTAGTTATGTGTATTAGAAAAAAACCCCCACAAAAACCTGACCATTAAAAGAAGTGTTACTCAAGTACCACCTAACATTATCACAAGAACCACTGGTTATATACACATAGCACTTTGGAAAATGCTAGTCTATGGGCACCAACTAGCTAATCTGACAAAGTTAGCTAATGGGGCAGGGTTGGACAGCCCACCTGGGTTCCCAGGTAACTAGTCCACTGAATGATGGCTTTCCAGAAATTGTTTCTTGATTTTTCTGCTTTAGGAATTGATAACTTTCCTCGGGAGCATGGCAAGCACGAGGAGGCAGGGCTGTGGTAGGCTGTGGAGGGGGAGTTCTTTGGGGGCGTTTGGAGCTGGGCAGTCTGCTAAAAGATACATTGTGCGAGGGGCCAGGGGCATCCCTTCACTGTAGGGTTGCTGTATCCTTCTAGGAAGGGTAGATGATTTCCTGAAAGTATATATTACTGCTAGCTGGGCCTCCTGGGGGTTGCTTGGGAGAATCATTAACTATTGCTAAATAAATAAATCCCTCTTGCTGCACGGAGCTGTACTGGCGCCAAGCAATTCCACTGCCAGTGGCTGCAGCTGTTGTGGGGAACAGTTGCCTTTCTCTTTGAGGTACTTCCCGGCCCCCTCCCCTAAAGTGAGTTTCCTATCCTCACAGTAGCCTCTTTTCAGTCAACAATTCCTGACAAATTAGTGGCGTTACATCCTACTCTTGTTTTTATGGTACAACAGGCTGAAAGTATTCCCCCCAGCCCACCGCCCCCACCTCCGCCCCAGTTCACACCATGAATATGGGGCACTTGTTTGGGAAACCTTGGGCCTGAAGTTCTGACCACAAAAATAAATCATGACCTTTAATTTATTAGACAAGGCAAAATCTTAATTATTTTTAGAGGTGCTGTATTGTGGGGGAGGAGAACAAGCATCGAGATGTAAAATGCACAAATTCCCCGCATCATCGGCAACAAGTAGGGATTGAAGGAAATTTTCAGCAACCGGTAAGGAATGGAGGGTTGAAATGTTCACCCACCATTAACAATGTTCTCACTTTTTAAAAAGTATTTGCCTGGTGGCTAATGCCTTGGTAACCATCTTCTTAACTGTCGGTATTTCTGGGTCCTATCTTCAAGAAACTCACGTTGTAAAACTGGAAAGCAGAGCAATCACACCCAGGAATTCCAGCCTTAAGGAACAGTAGGGAAGACAGGGAAAGAATCTTAACCACTAAGGGATGATTAAGCAAGGCCAGAAGCAGTGGTAGTTAGGTTGTGATTCCAGAGTTCCTGCATTTTTTTCTCTCTCTCCTGCTTATTGACCGGCCTTCCTGACAGAGGCACGATATATGTAACAGGAAGGTTAACGGAGATGGAAGAAGATGCAGGGATAATCCCAACTCCTGCTCAAGAATGAGGTCTTTGCAATGCATTCCCAGTGCCGTGCAGAAAGTAACCTCTGCGGATGGGCAAGGGCTAACGACGCCGCCATTTTCCTCCAGCTTCAGGAACAGGGTAATTCCTCAAGCAAGGCGGGCTCGTCTGAAGACTCACAAGGGGATCAGTACTCCGATTATAGTCTGGGAGCACCGGTATCGTCACCTAGCTGAGTCGCAAAACCAAGTCCCAAAGGTGGAGGCCTGCAGTTTGCTTAATTAACGACTCTGAGGTAGGAGAGGGCCCGCTACTATCTAGACCCTCACAGGCTGGCTTTCTGGGACACTTTCCCGGGCTTCCAACACCCCCAGCCCTCAATTTTTTCTCTCTCTTAAATTGGAGGCGGGAACAAAAGTTATCGTTATAATCATTACTGATTTTTTAAAAGGAAATACTTGGGAGTCACACTTCTCCGCAAGAGCCACAGAAATGGTGCTGTGGCCCCGACAGCTGTGGGCTGCAGCGTGGAGGAGCCAGTCCCTTCCATCTGGGAGACCCGGGCGGGTAGGGCCGCAGGGGCGTGAGAAAGGGTTTTTTGTATTCAGAGCACTAGCCCAGGGGAGCCGCAGCCTTCTTCGGCTGGCCTTCCCTCCGCGCTGGGTGCCGCGGGATAGCAGCTGCGCCCGCGCCGTCGGGCGGGTGGGGGCGACGCGAGGCGCGTTGGACTGGGAGCTGGGGGCGGGGAGATCGCGGCCTTTCACGCCCCGGCTCTCCCCAGAGGGGCCTCGCGGCCCCGAAGCCCCGCCCACGGCCCGCCCCTCTGTCCGCCGCGGGCTTCCTCTCCCTCTGCCCCCACTCCCTCCACGCTGCGCCCCCCCCCCACAGCCCTCCCCCCACGTCCCGTCCGCCGCCCGCCCTCCCGTGCGGAGCGCGCTGGAGGCGGGGCCCGGGCCCGGCGGCCGTGGAGGCGGTGGGGAGACCCGGCGCGCGGGAAGGAACCCGCCGCGGTCTCGGGCAGCAAAGGGCCCCAGCGGCTGGTGTCCTCTGAGGGCAGGCGGAACTGTGTGGTAACGAAAGTAGCTGCCTCCTACCCCTTCCTCCCCCACCTCCCGCCCCGCCCTCTGGCCCCAGCTCCATTTACTTCCATTTACCCAGACCGTCTTCTCATGATTCCTGCTGAATAGAAAAGGTAATTCATTAAAAGTCGTACCACCACCGCGGCCCTGCGCCCCGCCCCCCCGCCGCCCAGCTCCGAAACTCCTCGTGGTTATTTTTGTTCTTTAGCCCAGGTTAAGCTAAATACATTCCCGGGAAGCCATCTGGTCTGGTTCCCGGGATCCCTTCGTATGGTTTCCATTAAGCTCGCCAAACCGTGCATTGAAAATGCAGCCTTGGAGCCTCTCAGGAACCTCCAGGATTTTTGCCTTTTCCAGCCTCGTTTAGAGAATCTCAGGCAGAGGGAGGTAAAAGCCTCTGTTTAAGTTCTGAGTCCAGTACCCTATGGTCCTGGTCTTATGCTGTAATTAATATGCTTTACTACTCCAAGGAAATACAATTCTGCATGTTAACTGGTATCATTCATTCATTGATTCATTCATTCATTATTTGTTTGCTCTATGTGAAGCATTGCTTATTAGAATTCTGTTTTAATTCTAAAACTCTTGTGTTAACAGCTTTACAGATGAGTTTATACAATAACCTGGCCACAGAAATTGAGTTTGACCAGCAACATTTGTGTGGTTGGGTTTACACCTTTTCCTTTGTTGTCTCCCATTCCACCACCCGCCACAGACAAAAAACAAATATTAGCTTGTGGGAAAATATTCCCTTACACATGAATTGGGGTTTGTGGTCCAAGAGAAAAGGAACTAGCCAGGTTCATAAAATCATAGTGTCATAATTGCAAAGTTCCTTAGAATTCATCAAAAATAAGCCTGTTGGTTTATTGAGAAGACTCAGAAAGTGTAGGGGCTCAGAGGTCACTGGGCTTTCAGTAGTACTGTGGCCTAATTCGGGGAGGAGCCCGAGACATCAAGTGCCTTACCGTATACTGCAAAAAGGACTTTGATCAAACTCAATTCAGTTGTAGGACATCCTGTCTCTCCTGCTCTTCCCTCTGCAGTTTTCCCTGTGTGCTCTGCTCTGGCTCTCGCCTGTGGGGAGTTACAGCCCTTTCTTGCCTCCCCTAACCTAGGCTTCACTCCCTTCTTGCTCTTTTTCTTCCCTTCCTATCTCCCCACCCCACCCGAGCCCTGACTATGAGATTTTATTTGGGTTTTTTAAAATGAAACCAGGTGCTGCCTAAAACAAAAGCAAAGTAATAACAAGGAAAGACTATCCAATGCCTAAGGAATGTGCTGAGTTTTATGACTCAGGCTGTCCTGGCAAAGAACTCCGACTTACATGGAGAGGTGGGTGGCACAGAGCTCGGACCATACATGGCAGCCCTGGCCTCCCCAGATAGGCACGGTCAAGGCAGCCTGTGACTCATTTTCATAAAACCAGAGACTCCTGTTCCTTGTGGGACAAGACTTCCTGGAGGCTAGAGCCAAAGGATCTTCAGGCTTTTCCCTATGGGGCCTGTTCAGCCTGACCTAGCAGGGGCCACCTTGAGGTTTGCAGGGGACGGGAGCCCGGGCAGAAGACCCTCCCCCGGGAAAGAAAACAGGCTTGCTGGACTTGGGCAAGGGTTTTGGTGCACTGAAGTGCTGAGTAACGCGTGTGCTGCAAAGTGACATGAAAGTTAGCTTGTATAGTACTGGAGGCAGTGGCTTGGGAGCTCCAGGTGACACAGGATTGTCACACTGCCTTGGAGGAGGGGAATGTGGCCGAGCTGCTGGGAGCGCAAGGGGTGTTTGCTCTCTTTGCAGTGAGATGAAGAGCGCAGGAAAAGCTGGTCCGATTCGGGCACCGTTTGTGGGTGACATTGCTAATGCAATCAGGAGTAAGAGCAGGAGTGGGGGGGGCTCTCCATAAACACCCGAGAGACACCCAGGCACGCATCGGCACATTCTGGGAATTCTTTGCACATGAGCATAGTAATGGGGTGAGGTGCACATTTTTTCGGTTACTAAGAGACAGGCTGAGAGCTCTCAGGAGAATGTCTCTCCTGGCAGAGGTGGTGGGAGGGGTCTGAACTTGGGTGACAAGGATGTGTTTGTGCTTCCTTCATTACACAGGCCTGGCTGGAATGGGACGGATCGTGCTGCTTCTGGTTTCCGCCACCTCAGAGAAGGCTGTCACTTTTGGAATGAGAATGAATCTTGCCTGGCATAAATGAGTTCTCCGTGCGGCAGCGTCTTAGAGCGGGGCCTTATTTTTCCTTTTCTTCTTTACTTTTTTTCTTTTCCCTTTCCATGGAATACCCGTTGAAAAGCTACAGTGACCATTCCATAATTGCAGGAGAAGCCCTGCTCCACTTTTTCATTAAAGTCTACTTACCTGGAAAAAGAAAGTCTTTTAAGGACCATGACTTCATAAATATTTATTTATCGTGTGAGCAGAACTCTGGTTCTGCAGGAGAATGGGCTCATTCAGTTTTATTTATGATGTGACACTTGGGTGAGTGACATCCGTCATCTGGGTCGGTCCTCTGCTCTGTTCCACTGAAGCATGTTTATGGAGTGATTATGCCTGCAGATATTTGCTATATTTAGCCCCTCTCCTCCCCTAACCCCCTCTTAGCCCTTTCAACTCCCCACACCAGCCAAAAGCCAAGCTTGTGGTCCAGGGAAGATTTGAACCCTAGTGACAAGGCGCAGGGGCTTGAACAAATGCAGTGGGAGCCGGGAGGCAATTAGAGCAGGAGCGACAGCCGTTATTAGAGCATTCGTACACTAAGGTGCTTGTGCTGGGCCTGCGTCTAGCACGCGAGGGCCCTTAGCTGGGCAGAAAGCGCTTGACAGGTGATGGGCGCAAGCCTGAGTGACGGATGCAGATGGATCCTTCGGAAACTTTCCTTCCCAGGGAGCTTTCTCTGGACAGGCTCTCACAACCCTCAGATCTGTCACTGTGCACCTAGGGCTCTGGGGGCAGGGGATGGTAGGAGCTCTGTGACCTCTGCTGGGTGAAGGTTTCTGGTGTAACCTGAGGCTGTCCCCGCTCAGCCACACCTGGCCCCTGGCTGGGGGCTGGCAGTTGCCCTTCATCAGCTGGGGAGGAGGGAGGGCCACCTTTGGCTTCTAGCTTTACAGCTGCACATGCCCCGGCGTAGGCATTCCAGGCTGGCCCCGGGCCCGCTCCCGGGCTCCGTGCTCCCTGTGATCAGCTTGGCCACCTATTGTTTATCCTGGGAAGGGCCAGGTCTTGGCACAGAGGCCTGAAGTGTTGCCAGCATTTTATTTTTAGAGACAGGAAAATGTTTGCTTTTTGGCAGCTGCTTTTTTTTTTCTTTTTGGCATACTCCAGGATGGTGTAAAAAAGTTCAAGTGAGAGATTCCAAGCCTTAAACTCATAGCATATGACATAGGCAACAGTCCCACGAACCTCTTAACAGGAGTCTTTGTGGAGCTAAACCTTTCATTAGCAGGTCTCTCGCGCAGAGTGAGTCCCGCTGGCTCCCCTGGGGCAGCAAGAGGCCTCTCGTCCACAGACCCCACGGACTGGACGTCTAACGAGCCCCTTTGCCGTGCACTCAGCTGGTCTGAGATTTTGTAGTTCTTACCTCCGTTCATTTCCTTCCCGACCAATTCATAATGTAGTCCAACTCGGTGGACAGAGTAAGAAAGCCAGTCAGCCTGCTGAACCCGATGTTTGTCCCCCCTCCTCAGACCCACTGTCACTGTTGTCATGATGACTGGTGCAAAGCAGCCAGCTTCCATGGCACGAAGCGCATCACTACACTCAGAGAGTGCATTTCCGTGTTTTATTGGAATTACTATTTGCCCCAACACAGTCTCTCTTAAAACATATTTTTGCAGGTCCTGTGATTCTAGCTACTGACGATTTATCTGAAAGCCTCTTGTAAACTGTGATGACATACTAAGCAAAGGTGAAATGGAATAGAAAGGAAAAACCAGAAACAGAATCACAAATACAGGGAAGGAACTGGTAGTTGCTGGAGGAGGAGGGGGTGGGGGGATGAGTGAAATAGGGGAAGAGAATTGAGAGGTGCAAACTTCCAGATCTAAAATAAATCGTGGAGATGAAAAGTACAGCCTGGGGAATGTAGTCAATAATATTGTAATAACTCTGTGTGGTGACAGATGGTGAGTACACTTACCATGGTGAGTGCTGAGTAACTTAAGGAATTGCCAAACCACTGTGTTGTACACTTGAAACTGATACAACGTTGTATGTAAATTATACTTCCATAATAAAGTTTTTAAAAAGTAAAGAATTTTCTTTTTTTCTAAGATTTTATTTATTTATTTGACAGAGAGGGACACAGCGAGAGAGGGAACACAAGCAGGGGGTAGTGGGAGAGGGAGAAGCAGGCTTCCCGCTGAGCAGGGAACCCGATGCGGGGCTCGATCCCAGGACCCTGGGATCATGACCTGAGCCGAAGGCAGACGCTTACCGACTGAGCCACCCAGGCGCCCCAAGAATTGTTTTCTACCTTCCTTTCTCTCCAACCTTTTCAAAAATTACTTTTTCTTCACTGAAGTATAATTGGCACACAATGTTGCATTAGCTGCAAGTGTACAACACAGTGACTTGAGAAGTCTGCATGGTATGCTGTGTTCATCACAAGTGTAGTTACCATCTGTCTCCATACCAATTGTCTCTATTGTAATACCACTGACTATACTCCCCATGCCGTATCTTTCATCCCTGTAATGTATTCATTCCATAACTGGAAGCCTGTACCTCTCATTCCACTCATTTTGCTCATCTCTCCCCACCCCACCATGGCAACCACCACAAAAATAACCTTTTAATTTCACAAAAGTTAAAAACACATACATCCGGCTGGCTCGGTTGGTAGAGCATGTGACTCTTGATCTTGGGGTCATGAGTTTGAGCCCCAGGGTGGGCATAGAGCTTAACTTAAAAAAAAAAAATGAATACATTCTTTTTTGCCACTTGATTACCTTTTATATTCATATTTCTTTTTGCTGGAGTATAT